ATGGGAATGGATCTGTTCTCTCGGGCACAGATTGTCACAAAGTGGGTCAAAGCCTTTCCTACACGTGTTCATGCTGTGTGATGCTGTCTGCAGTGTCACAACACAATGTGAGACCTTTACCAAATGTGACCATCCTTTGCTGAACTCCCCAGTCTCAAGAATCATGACTTAAATATAAATTTATTGATAAGCTACACAGACTTGGGCATTCTGTTATAGCAACAGAAAGTGCAGGGAGACAGGTCCCTGGGTCCCTGTCCCCATGCTGTGAGCTCTCTCTGGCAGAAAGTCTGAGGCCCAGTCCCTTGGGTTGATAGTGTTCTTTTCTCCCACACACCAGCTGTGGGCATGGGTTTCCCTTGAGCACACCTGTACCCACACATCACCTGTGCCCACAGGGACCAGGCACTCCATTGGCAGGTTGGGCATAGTGGTCATAGGCAAAGCTAGCTGTGTGCCCAGAGCAGTTTTTCAGGATGCAGAGTCAAAGTCTCCCCTGAGGCTCCCCTTAGTCCTTTTCTCCCAGAATAATGCATTCATTTGTCGCAGCAGCTCCTAAATGTTTGGGGTAAAGTCTTTAAAATTCAAAGGATTTCTCTCATGGAGGTCTTATCGAATGCCAGTGACAGTGTTAGAAATTAAAACAAAGGCCAGGCGTTGGTGTTGCATGCCTTTAATCCCAGCACTCGGGAGGCAGAGGCAGGCGAATCTCTCTGAGTTCAAGACCAGCCTGGTCTACAAGAGCTAGTTCCAAGACAGCCTCCAAAGCCACAGAGAAACCCATAGAGAGGCTCATCCCAGTGCCTTCTCCTGGCACATATGCAGTACACAGGGCATACCCTTTCAGGCAAACACTCGTTCACATAAAGTTAAAAGTAAAATGTTTGGGGGGTTGTTTCTCTCTGTATCCCTGGCTGTCCTAGATCTCATTCAGTAGACCAGGCTGCCTTGAACTCAGAGGGCTGAGATAAAAGGTATGTGCCACCATGCCTGGTTAAGTAATCCCTTTTATTTTTATTTTTTATTTATTTATTTATTTATTTATTTATTTATTTATTTATTTTTGAGGAGGAAGATCCCTAAAGGGCTTGCTTGTTAATTTAAAATTAGTTGCAATAAAGAAAAGGGCAGTGTTTCTGGAACGGTATACAATTACAGTTAGACAACAAAAGGAGAAGGAAATCCAGAATAGAGCCAGAAAGTAGGTAGATGATTTTCCTGTGCCTGAGAGAACAGAATTGGGAATGGGTAGTAGTTACAGAGAATCTTGTGAATGAAAATGTTCTAAAATCTCTCATGGTTGCACAAAGCTTTGAACAAGTTAAAAAAAAAAAAAAAACCACTGGATTTTATATTTCCTCTGTGTGTGTGTGTGTGTGTGTGTGTGTGTGTGTGTGTGTGTGTGTGTATGCATGTGCCCGCACACGCGCGTGCTAAAGATTGAACCCAGGGCCCCACACATATGCAGAGCATATGATCTGCCACTAGCTATGCCTCAGCCCCAGACTCTGTCCTGTAGATGAGTAAATTGTATGTGCATTACATCTCAACAGAGCTGGGGTTTTTATATTTTAAAAAAATTGATAACAAATTTACATGTGAGAGAAATAGACTTTTACAAGAAGTTTTTAAAGGAAAATAAAGACATAAAAAGGGGGCCGGCTCCTGTTGTGAGTGTCTGGTGCCTTGCTTCCTACCAACAGCTGGTTTCCAGGGTGGCAGCTGCCACATTCAGGCAGGCCCAGCAGGTTGTTTGGAGCTGGGATCTATGCAGAAAGCTCAGCATAACACAAGTTATGTCCCTGGAAGAGGCCCCTGAAGAGCCTTGGCTTTCTCAAGGCTCTCAGGCTCCTCCCAGGGTCTTTAAAGGTTCTTACTTCCTGTATAAATCTATACTTGCCCTTTGGAAGCCCATAGCCTTGGTCCTAAGCCCATTATCACTTGTCCCATTGCAAAATGTCCCCAAGCCTGCTTATCTGAGCTCATGTCATGTGGGCCCCACCTCCTTGAGATGCCTGTGTGCCTGTCACCTCAAGGCACATCATTTCAAGTCATGGAGCAGTTAGTAGCTTGGGGATAGCCTGGCTACACCCTCCTAGCAGAACTCCCACCAGCAATGACTCAATGCCTGCTGCTGGATAATACTCCTTTCGGGTGAGCAACCATCTGTGCACACAGTTCCTAGAGCCACTGTGAGGAAGATGAGATCCCCTGGGTGCCTCACTGTTGCAAGGCAAACCAACCCCTCCAAGGTTAGCATCTGTAAAGGCCACATCTGGATTTGATTCTAACCATTCCCTCACACTGCACTGGTATTTTCATGCCTACAGCTGGCTTCCCCAGGGCTGTGGCCCAAACTGCAGTCACATGGGATACCCTGAGAGAGCTCCTCTCTCTCATATCCAGTTTGTGGACTATGACACAAAAGTCCCCCATGAACTGAAAGACAGAGAAGAGGCCCAGATGTTAGGGTCTATCCTGAAGTTGCACAAGTGTCCTTGGACACAGGTGTAGCTGGAAATCAAGCAAGCAATAAAGGATAGCAGCCTTTGCCCGGCCCCAGGCTGGTGTTTCCTACTTAGCCCTTAGACCTTTGGGAGCTCCACCCCAACTGGAATTCTTCAGAAAGGTGTTACCTTGTGACTCAGTTACCCAATCTCCCACTCCTAGTGGGGGCACCCTCCTCCCACCAGAGAGATGACCACTGTCAGCCAGGGGGCTCCTGAGTTGAAGGGTAGAGGCAGCTACTATGAAGAGGCCCTTGAGGCACCATGGCAGGTGCTCAGTCTCTGGATTAACCCGTGGCATTTCTTAGTCTTTCCAAGAATATAATATGATGGCCTCACATGGCCTGGAATGTGGGGGGGCTTGCAGAGATGGGATCCGGTGTGGCTACATGGAGGGCAGGAAGCCCACCAATCTCCCACTTTTCCAACTCTTTGGCAATAGTTTGTTTATTTAAGAGCCGCTTTGCCTCCCTCCTGTCTCCCCCCCCCCATACCACCTGCTGACCCCAGGACCTTGGTACACAGTTTGACAACTTTTATGTTTGACCTGCCCATTTCATAGTCAGGAAAAAAAAAAAAAAAGAAAGAAAAAGAAAAAAACACATCCTAAGGGGTGGCATCTCTTGCTGAGTAAGCTAAGGGGCCTACAGGGGCCTGTGAACATTAGGTGAGAATTATTCCAAGGACAGATGTACGGGACAGAGACCAGCATTAAGTCAACACCAAAGAGGAGCAGGACAGATGGAAAGAGAACCCTTAGCTGGATGTGGCCTCTGTTCCCAATAGTTGGGAAGCTGAGGCAAGAGGTTGCAAGTTTGAGGCCAGCCTGGGGTACACAGAAAGGGACAGGAAGAGCAAGAAAAGAAAGAACCCCCCCAAAGCCCTGACCTCCTTCCCTGAGCTATGCTAGCCTCTAGCCCTGGGAATCACCATCATGCTGCCCCCTTTTCCTCTCCCAAGAAGGGAGACTTCATCCATAAGCAGAGGTCTGGCTGGGAAGCTGAATGTTAAGCTAAGGCCCTTTGACCACATGGCCTTCTGATGCCCTTGGAATTGAGGCCTTCCCAGCTTCCTTGTTCCCCAGTCAGGGTGGGGATGTGTCTTCCTCATTCCTGGGTGATAGTCCCAGAGTTCTTCATAGCCCAACACACCCTCCTGACCACAGGGTCAACACGGAATGGATATGCCAAGGTCCCTGTCCTGCCCTGACTCCTGTATTTTCTGAAGAGCTAATTGCTTTCGGCACATTCTCAGATGGGTCATGGGCTAAGGGAGCTGCATGGTGTGCTAGGGAAGGAATGAAGAGCAGATGGGGTCAGGAGGGGATTTGGGGGAGCCACAGGGGACACCGATCCCTGCCAGAAGCTTTGCTCATGTTTTGCTTCCCTCGTCTATCTCTGATACCAGGATCGCTGTCTCCATTTTACAGAGAGGGCATGGGCTTGGAGCTGTTAGGTAGATCACCAAGGGGCTGCATCGCGCCTGAGGACAGAGGCCAAGGCAAGTGCTACAGTTGCCAGCCCCCTTCAGAAGGCCCTGCACTCAGCCACATGGCACCTTGTGTCACTAGGTGACAAACAAACAGTGAACATAGCCCATAGAACTCAGCTTGCCTCTAAGGCTGGTGCCTGCCCAGCGGAAGGCAGAGCCCTCCAAAAGGGCCCTTAACCGTGGTAGATAGAGGGCACTCTGTGAAGTTCCCCACCGGAGAGGGGACTTGGCGTCCTGGTCTCTCCAGATCCATGGGACAGAAGCCCATTTTTCTTTGTTCTCAAAGGTGCGACTGCCACAATCCACAGCCCCTTTTATTGCTCTGTATTGGTCATCACCGGCCGGACTCACCCCTAGCGGTGGGTGAGGGGTGATCAGTCCTTTCAAAACAGTGGGGCCTGGTCCACCCTCCCCCCAGATGTCAACATTGTAGGAAGTCAGCCTCTTATTTCTTTCTCTGCAGATCTAGACTATTGATTTGCTGCCTTCTTCCTTAAAGGCGTGTCTAAGATCACAGGCATAGGATAGGGAAGGTATCTGGAGAAGTTTAGATTACCCCACCAAATGATGAGAAGGCCCTCTCCAGGAGCTCAGCCAGTCATCCCAACTCCCGCTCATGGCCTAGCCCAACACTCCCAGGTAGACCACGTCTGTCCAGTTATCTCTGAGTGGAGAGCCGTCAGTTCAGGACACTCAGGCTTGGGAGAGGGTTGGGCTGGCCTGTCCCTGGCGGTGTGTAAGAATCCTAGGAAGTCCAACAACCCGGAACAGCACAAACAGGGCTCCTGGATCCCACTGCTCTTGGCCACACTCCAGCAATCCTGAGCCCCGGTGGAAGTTCTACAAATGGAGTGTAGTGCCTCCTGTGGGGTTGTGGGAGTTGTATCTTCCTCATCCATCCTGAAGCTAATGGCCAAGACACCATAGTAGAACTTCCCACGAGGAAAATGCTCTAGGTGAGTTGGCCGGCTCTTGACCTCTGGGTATTCTCTTCTCTCTTAGGACCTGGGCATGGAGTCAACCTCCCTGGATGATGTGCTATACCGCTATGCCAGCTTCCGGAACCTGGTGGACCCCATCACACATGACCTCATCATCAGCCTGGCACGATATATCCACTGCCCCAAGCCGGTAGGCAGTTGTGGTCTGGAGTGTGAGGTGGACCCCTTTCAGACGGCACAGACCTGACCATGGTTGCCTAGGGAGTTGGAACTCTGCTCCAGGGAAGAGAAACTTCTGGGGTTGACCCCATCTGTGGCTTCCTCTGGGACCTTCTCCCTGGCTCCTGGAACTGCCTAGTGTCAAGATCTAGAGAGGATGGGAACAGGCAGGGTCAACAGAAAATAGGCAAAGGAGCTATGAGTCAAATACGGGACAGCAAGCAAAGCTAGTCTTGAGGGTTGGTGGACTGGGAGAGGAGCTAGTTAGTGCCAAGAGCCGCACGGAACCAAGTACAAGTAGCTGGGGAACAGTAAAGTACTAGAAACGGACCTCTGAGGAATTACCTAAAGGTGAGAAGAGGGACAGGTAGTAGAACTCTCAAGAATAAATGAAATGAATAGGTGAAATATTATCTCCATGTCCATTCGAGAGCTGAGGAAAACAGGTACTGAAGAAGTGCATTGTGCCTTTCATGAGGACTACAGAGGTGATTAGGCCCACTCTGCAAATCTGGGGCTGGGCAAGACAGGAAGTTCTAACTGCCTCACCAGACCCAATGACACAGGACCAGACTAGGCCAGGAAAAACCTAGAGCTCTTTCCCTTCAGCCTAGGTGGGGCTGGGGCCATATCAGTCAGTGTTACTCAGTGCAGGCTGCTACACAAGGTACCATGGCCTGAGAGCTTCTAGACAAGAATTCTCACATTGGCCAGAAGTGCAAGTTTGGGTGTCTGATGGGGTCTGTCTCCATCTCAGATTGCTGCCTTCTGTGCCCTGGCATGGTGGAAAGCCAGTAAGAAGTTCTCTAGACCCCTCTTAGAACAGCTCTGATGAGGGCTCCGCCCTCACAGCCTCATCATCTCCAGAAGTGGGATGGAGCAGAAGCCTTCAGCCCATTGCATGGTGTGACATTTCCCACATCACTTGATTTCCAGAACTTCATTGTCCTCAACCCCAAAATGGGCATCAAAACCATCTCCCCCCTGCTGAGAGCACCTGCATGGGCCCTGTCTGTATGGCCACCTGTGCACAGAAGCTGGCCTGTGGCACCTTGTGTGTGCCACCAAGGTACTAGCAGGGCAGCATAGGAAACAGCAGTTTCCTAGCCAGAATGCCATCCCTTCAGCCCTTCTGTTCTGATAAATTTCGGAAGGAGACTACATAGGGCTGGCTATGAGGAGCAAAGGGCAGGGTAGTCTGGGAAGTTTCACACATGAATGAGATGACTAGGCCCTTTGCTCCTCCCGATCCTAGATCCTACTCTGTTGCTCCCATTACTGGGCCCCAACTAGACACCAGGAACAAGAGGACCTGGTGGTGTACTTTTGAAGACAGTCCTATGAGCAGAGAAGGGCAGAAAAAAGGCTGGGGGATGGGAGTGGGGTGGGGCGAGCCAAGGAAGACCAGCGGGCAGTCTGTCTAAACAATACCCAGTGTGTAATAGTAAGCAGAGCCGTCAGATTAGCCTGATTAGTGAGTGAGTACATCTATGAATGAGGGAAGTCTTTGCATGGCAGACAAGGTTGGTGGAGTCCTGGGAAATGGAGGTGGCAGATGGCATCTGTTCCTTGGGAGACCAGGGAAGGCTGTAGGTTGGCCTTGAGCCCCTGAGCCTCTTTCCAACAGACCGTGGGGAAGTCCCTCAAACAATTCCCCCAGTGCTTCTGGACACTGTCACTGGGCAGTTCTGGCAGAGCCCAGAGTCCTGCCAATTGTGCCATGCCCCCGCTCCTTCCTTCGCCATGGGTGGGAGGAGGAGCTGCTAGGAGTGTCCCACTGTCTGACGCTGAGCCTTCTGCATGGTTAATTGCAACTCACAGACACCCACACAGTCCAGTGTCTTGTGGACCCACAAGCAGCCCAGCATTACGGAGGCTTTGGAACTACTGAGCAAGCGTGCTGTATAAGTCCATCCATCCCCCTCTGCTCCATTACAGTTTCCTCTGCGCAGGGCTCTCCCCACCCTCCCACACGGTAGGGAACATGGCTATCCACAGGCCCTGTTCACTTGTCCAGGTTCCAGTTCCTAGAAGGTGTCTCGTTTGCACTGTCGCCTTCTGTGCTGGTGGTCCTTTCTTGCCACCACCACCACCACACACACACCACCCACACACACACACACACACACCACACACACACACACACACACACACACACCGTTCCCTTCTGGGCCAGCCCCACTCAATCCCATTCTCGTCTGGAAGAAGGCCTTGAGGGAACCTGAATGGGAAGGAGTTGGGAAAGGATAAAAGCATCTTTAATGAATATGCAAAGGGCCAGATTTCTAACAAGGGGAGTGGAGTGTGTAGGTTAGTAAGAGCCAGGGGACATCTGAACTTATTCCCACTGACAAGGTGCATGTTGAACAGTATGCCTCAGTTCCCTCATTTGTGAAATGAGAGTGGTAGGAATATGCCCAAGTGAATGAAGGAGATGCATAGTGAAATCTAAAATGCTCAGTAAACGTTAAGGGAGGGAAGGGTGGCTTGTGCTAATGTGGCCCTGCCATCTTTGCCCAGGGTGGGTCCCAAGCACCACAGAAACAAAACAAGAGAAGACCCATGGTGTATTATCTAGTTCAGGCAAGCAGAGGGGAACTGGTCCCTATGGTTTTTAGGTCAAACTCAACTCTTACTGGCATGCTCAGCTATTGTCCCTGTTTGGCCAATGAGAAGACCAAGAATGACTCCGGTTCTCTGGTAGTGGCAGCCTCGCCCTGTGCTCGGCTGCCCCCTTGTGGCCGACGCTGTGCACTTCCAGCCCTCTTTACGCCTTTGTTCTCTTAAGATTCTGCGGTCAGAGCTACTCCAACTTGGATAACTGAGGGAGAGGGCGTGGCCCCGGGTATTCAGAAACCCAGAGAACTGATTGGAGGAGAAACCAAAGCAGAGGAGCTCTGCTGTGGGCTTTGGGTTGGCTTCTTCTGAAAACTGGCAACAGTTCTGGCCCAGAGAATCCCAAAATGATGCTTTCTGGGCGTGCCCCCGATCCTATCCATTGGCTCCTCTTGTCCTTAAGGCCCCTGAGCCCGTGCTCCTCCCCTGTAGCTGCTCAAAGGGATCACTCTTCCTGCAGGACTAGGATCCGGGAAGAAGGAATTGGGAGGCGGGGAGCAGTCAGGAATAAGCGAGGGAATGGGAGCGAAGACAGACAAAACATTGGGGTTTTCCGTGTGTGTGTGTGTGTGTGTGTGTGTGTGTGTGTGTGTGTGTGTGATGGAAGCAGGAGAGAGCCCCTGAAGGGACCAGCGAGTGGGAGGAGGGTCAGAGGAGAGCAGTAGGAGAGAGAGTATGAATAAGATGTAATGATGTATGTATGAAATGTACACTATTTTGTACACTAAAAACAAAGTTGATCCACTGCCAAGGGACCTGCCCACTCTTCACTAGTGTCGGCCTTTTAAGGTACCCTGGGAATCCAACGTGAGAAATAAACTCTAGGTGTGCCGTCTTCTGTGCCGTGTCCCATCCTCATTCCGGATTCTTTTGCCTCCAAAGTCAGGTGTCACCATTACCAGTCCGGGCCACTACTCCTCACCTCTGCCAAGCCTGTGCTGGAAAAGCCCTCATTGGCCATACAGTAGCCACCAAGGGCGACTTTAGCCACCCTCATCCCTTTGCGTCACTCACCTATTTCTCTGTGCCTCCTCCGTCTCCTTGCCCAGTGTTGCCCCACCCCACCCCCCAGCTCATTCCATGGCTGAGGGCTCAGCAGATCCTGAGGATCCCAGATGGAGGTCCCATGGGCTCCTCCTGTTCAGCATGTCCCCATAGGAGCTGGTCACTCCCCACCCTGCCTTTACACCTACTTTTCCTCTGGAGCCCTTGGTGATGTGATGAGTACTACGGTAAAATCAACTTAAGAGAAAAAGGGTTTATTATTGCTTACAGTTCAAGAGACGGGGGGGGGGGGTGGGTCAAAGTGTCAGAGAACTTGAAGTTAGTAACTGGACACATTGCATATTGGATCAAAACACCGAGATGCATGTGTCTTCCTGGTTGAAGGATGACTCTCCCTACCCCACTTTACATATTCAAGATAATGCCTCACAGGCGTGCTTAGCAGCCCATCTCCCAGGCAATGCCACACTCCTGTCTCATTGACAGTTAATACTATCACGGACCTTGTGCTTTCTGCCCAGCTCTCTAGCCCAGATTCCCTATCCCTTCGTCTGCATTCTGCCCACACCTTCTCTAACCTGGGTATGACCTCTGTCACTTTCAGTCCCTTCTATGGGCATGGCCTGAGTCACCCTCTCAACTTCCCAGCTCTCACACCCCATCTCCCTGTAAGAAAATCCCAGGATTTAACTTCACCCACCATTCCCCTATACTGACTCCCTTACAACACCCTCTTGTCTGTGTCCCTTGCTCCCACCCTGTGTGACTAAGCTAAGCAAGAACCTGAGTCTAGGAATCTGATGTCTACTCTAGGGGTTCAGTGAGATTGGCTGGAGTGGGCGAGCAATGCCCGTTTGTCAGCCAGCCACACTGCTGTGAGGAACAAGATGGTCCCTTCCAGAGCAGTCTCTTCAGTGGCAGGCCACTGCGATGGCTCCCGGCTTAGATGGACTTCACTTCTCCAGGCCTGCAATTGCAGGCCTCCCCACTCCTGTCCTACTGCTCAGACTTTCTTCTCTTACTGTTCGACAATTACAGCTCCCTGAATCTCAGTTCCCCCCTCTTTAATGGGGGTGGTGAGGTATGTGGTGCTCTGGAATGTAGGCATTCGGTACATTTCTAGCTTGGTGTCTGCTGTAATCCAGGTGAGAGATAGGAAGGTTTGGACAAGTGGTAGCTTGGGGGTGGTTGGATTTGCCCAGGCCAGATTCTTACTTGCTGCTTCATGCCTGTAGAACTCCCCTCACCAACTGTTGCTCCTCATTCAGGGATATCTCAGATTTCCTTTCTCCATTAAAAGAAAAATTGCTATCCATCTATTCTTAAAAACTCAGTTTAAGGGCTGGACATGGTGACACATGCCTTTAATCCTCATGCTTTTTGAGGCAGAGGTGGTTAGGTCTCTGAGTTTGAGTCCAGCCTGATCTACATAGTGGTTTCCAGACTAGCCAGCACTACGCAGTAAGACAAAACACAAAACCAGCTTACATCTGAGCCCAGGCAGAAATGACCTTTGGTCTTCAGCACTGCAGCTCAGGATACCACACTGGTCTTTCCATGGAGGGTGAGTACGAACCAGGACCATGTAGGTACCAAATGCACTTGTCCCTTCATAAAGCAGTGTAATACAGGTCCACCCTCCTTTGCAATGAGCAAAGGTAAATGCCATGTTTAGGGAGTAATGACAGAAAAATTGAGTCTGTCCATGTTCAGAACAGACATAGTTCTTTTCTGAGTAGGGTCTCTCCTGGCTGTCCTGGAACTATGTAGACCAGGCTGGCCTCAGACTCACAGAGATCCTCCTGCCTCTGCTGGGATTAAAGGCATGTGCATCATGTCTGGCTTTTCTGGGTACTCTTGATCTGTGGTTGGTTGAATTCCTGGATGTGTGCACAGCTACAGGCTGTATTCATTGAGCAAGCTTGGGTTCTATACAAAGCACCTGAATAGTAGTGACTCAGTTAATTCCCCAAACCCATGTGAAGACGCGTGCACGTGCGTGTGTGTGTGTGTGTGTGCGTGCGTGCGTGCGTGTGTGTGTGTGTGTGTGCGCGCACACACACACACGCACACACACACGCACGCACACACACACTTACTTTACGGATGAGCACTGAAGGCACAGAGAAGTCACATTAATTTGCTCAAAGCCACAGACAAAACCAGGACATGAAATTGCACAATCCGGTCCCAAGTCCCATGTTCTAAATGATTTCATAGGCTGCTTCTCCAGTAGCAGAGTGGCAGTGGTAATCGTAATTGAAAAGCTGATACTGCTTGATGCATTGAACCTCACCACCTTCTGTTGGTGATTTGCACTGGAGCTCCAGTGCTCCTGGCTCTTTGCCCTCAGGGCTGGGCCTTCTGGCAGGAGCACACTCGTGCCCATTCCCAGCTTAGAGCTGGTACAGGAGCTGTGTTGAATTGATTCTCCTTGAGATGGAGTCGGTGTCTCTCTATTAAATCTTTCCACTGCAGTTAATCCAGTGTATAATCGGGTGACTTAATTGACAGAAATTAATGTTCTCACTGTTGTAGAGGTCAGAAGGCCAGACGTGGCTTCTCCTAGTCTTTTGTGAAGAATTTTTCCCTGCATGCTTACATAGATCTTTCCTCTGGACATGTCTGTGCCCTAATCACTTCTAAACACACCAGCTGTATTGAGTTGAAGTCCACTCAATGGCCTCATTTTTCCTTTAATTACCTTTAAATGTCCTGTCTTTCAATGCAGTCACAGTCTGAGTAATTGAAGGTTAGGAAATCAATATAGAGCTGGGCAGCAGTGGCACACACCTTTAATTCCAGCACTCAGAAGGAAGAGGCGGTGGAGCCCTGAGTTCAAGGCCAGCCTGGTTTACAGGTTGAGTTCCAGGACACACAGGGCTACACAGAAAAACTGTCCAGAGAGAGAGAGGGAGGGAGGAGAGAAAGAGAGAGAGAGAGAGAGAGAAACAATATATAATCGTTAAAGGGACACAGTTCAGCCCCATGTTAATCAGGGTCGTCACAAAAAAATGTTGATGAAAGAGGGCTGGAGAAATGGCTCAGAGGTTAAGAGCACTGACTGCCCCTCCAGAGGTCCTGAGTTCAATATCCCAGCAGCCACATGGTGGCTCACAACCATCTATAATGAAATCTGGTGCCCTCTTCTGGAGTTCAGGCATGCAGGCAGAACACTATATACATAATAAATGTATCATTTTAAAAAAGAAGAAGAGAGGGGGCTGGGGAGATTAATTAAGAGTACTGGCTGCTCTTGAAGAGTACCCTGTTTCGATTCCCAGCACCCACATAACAGCTAACAATCGTCTCTAACTCCAGTTCCAGGGAGTCTGATGCCCCCTTCTGGCCTCTGCAGGTACTGCATGCATATGGTACACCATCATACATATAAACAAAACATCCATACACATGAAATAAAAATATTTTTAAATGCTAATGAAGCAGACAGGTATTGTAGATGGGCAGACTGCAGGGCACGGGGAGACTTGACCCTCTCAGGTTTCTGTTTTCCCACATTGGGGAAAGACATAAGTTAAAACAAGTCATTTTATTATGTGAACTATGAGAACCTTTGTTCATGACCATAGCCATGCTTCTTAGTAAGCACTCAAAGATATATTGTTCGTTCGAGTGAACAAAATGACTCTGGATACTGCGAGCTGACAGGGGTTGTACAATTTCTGGCTCAACAGCTCTGTTGTAGCCAGTCATGGTCAGACCACCTGCAATTCAGACTTTCTAAATGTGTCAGGTTTTCCAGTGATAGCAACTAAATCACAAGGCAGAGACTCAGAGAGTAGCTCAGTAGTAAAGCACTTGTGTGGCATGTTTGGGGCCCTGGGTTCGACTCCTAGCAACAAACACACACACACACACACACACACACACACACACACACACACTTGCACCCACTACTCCTGCCAAAGGCAGTCACTGGGGCCAGCAGAGCAGGCCTCCCTTATGCTGAGCCCCCTGAGAGTCTAGAGTGGGATCAGAGCACCTCAAAGTCCTCCAGGGTCACCTCACAGACCTAGACCTATGCCTGTGATTGCCTCTGCAGGAAGGTGATGCGTTGGGTGCCATGGAGAAGCTGTGCCGGCAGCTGACCTACCACCTTAGCCCTCACTCACAGTGGAGGAGGCATCGAGGGCTGGTGAAGAGGAAGCCACAGGCCTGGTGAGTGGCAGTCCCTATAGTCTGCCCTACCCCAGTCCTGCTGACTGATAACCCTTCCTGGGAGGATTATGCCAAGGAAGGACCAAAGCCAGAGGGTATGTCAGTAAATTCTACTTGAAGGAGGTAAAATCGTGGTGGATTTAAGGACTAGAGAAGTAATTTGATCATTCCAGGTACATGAGAGATGCTGAAAAGGAGGTCCCTGGGGTAGGAGCTGGGGAGCATGCCCTGCAGATGGACAGGTGGGGATGGGACATGAGGCATTTCTAGTCCCTGGTGTTCCTAGTATTCTGGGATGGAAACCAGGTTTGGTGGGGTACCTCTGCAATTCCGTACTTTGGAGGCTAAGCCAAGAAGGTTGCCTCAAGTTGTGGCCATCACAAACCACTTCCAGAAACTTCTCTGGAATATCCTTCCAGGGGATCTAGAGTCTAGCCTTGTCTCAGCCGTGCAGCAGTAAAGACCCTCTTAAAGACCAAGAGGATAGAGGACTTGAGACACAATACACAGAAAATGTCTCATGGTAGGAAACAAGGGAACCCAGCTGAGAGGCAGGCTTTACAAATGACACAGGTGAGTGGCTTGCCTTCTCAAAGACTGGCAAGGCCCTGGTTCTGTGCCCAGATCATCCAAGTGGCTCCCAGTGGGCGGCAAATGACAAGTGCACTCCCTTTTCTAGTTTCATTCTCTGTTGCTTTGGTAAAACACCCTAACAACAGCAACTTTAAGGTTGCTTCCAGTTCCATGCTACAGTCCATCATTGTGGGGGAGTCAAGATGGCAGGAAATTGAAGCCACTAGTCACACCTACAGTCAAAAGCAGAGAGAAGATGAACGCATGCATGCTTAACTCTCAGCTCTTTTTCCACCCAGACAGTCCTGGACTAACTTTAGCCTGAGTCTTCCTGTGTCAAATAACACAAGCATCCAGACAGTTCCCCACAGACATTCCCACAAGTCAGCCTGATCTAGACAATTATGGAGGCTCTTCCCATGTGTTTCTCGACATTGACAATTAAAACTACCCATCATGGGGCTGGAAAGGTGGCTCATGGAGTTAGAGCACTGGCTGCTCTTGCGGATGATTGGGGTTCAGATTCCTAGCACCCACGTAGACTCACAACCATCTGAAACTCCAGGAGATCCAACTCCATTCTGGCCTCCTTGGGTATCAGACACACACATGGTGCACAAATACATGTGTAGGCAAATTTAAATAAAATTAAAAATTAGTGTGTGTGTGTGTGTGTGTGTGTGTGTAGTGATATATACTTGTGAGTGCAGAGTCTAGAGGCATCGGATCCCCCTGGAGCTGAAGTTCCAGGCAGTTGTGAGCTGCCTGACAGGGAACTGAACTCAGGTCCTCCACAAAAGCAGTTTGTGTTCTTAACTGCCAAGCCACCTCTCCAATTCCCCTACCCCTGCACCTTCTTTCTTTTATTGATTTGGGATGTTTGTTTGTTTGGGGGTCTCAATCAAAGGATAGCTCTTGAACTCATTGTGTAGACGAGGCTGGCCTTGAACTCACAGAGATCCATCTGCCTCCCAAGTGCTAGAATTCAAGGCATATACTGCTGTGTTCAGCTTTGGGTTTTTTGTTGTTTTGTTTGTTTTGTTTTTTTTTCTTGAGACAAGGTCTTTGTTATGTAACTTTGGCTGGCCTGGAACTCACTATGCAAACCAAACAGGCCTCAAATTCATAAGAGATCCGACTGCCTCTGCCTCCTTAGTGCTGGGATTAAAGGTGTGCACCACCATACCTGGCTTTCTGAGATGTTTAGAGTCTTAATATGTAAGCCAGTCTAGCTTTAAACTCACAATGCCCCTGCCTCTGCTTTCTTCCAAGTACTGGAATAGCAGGTATGTGCCAGCCCCGGGCCAGCTAGTTCTGTCTGCCAGTGCCCACACACAGAGGCTAAGTCCATTCTCCATTTGGGAACCTTGTTAATGAAACCTACTCATTCCTCTCAGGTGGCTTCTCATCACACTTGAATGGCATTGTCTGATCTGCCCGTGCCTCCTCTGCCTTCACCTCTCTGTGCTACCTCACCTGGGCTACAGGGACCTTCCTGCTGGTACACACATACACATGCACTTGACAGCCTCAGGGACTTCCCCCTTGACATTACTTGGATTGGAACTCTTAGTCAGCTCTTCTGATGGCCCATGCTTGCTTTTGCTTTACATCAGGTTATTGTAATATTTTTTTCTCTTTTGGGGGACCCACCACCCAGCTCCCAAATCAATCACATCACACACAGAGGCATATTCTTAGTTATGAATACCCAGCTGTAGCTTGGCTTGTTGCTAGGTGGCTTTTCTTGAATTATTCCTTTTATCTTTTGCCTCTGGGCTTTTCCCTTTTCTTACTTCTGCGTTTCTTTCTTTCTTACTCCATGACTGGCTGGGTGGCTGGCCCCTGCCGCCCTCCTTCCCTTATGCTCTTGCTCCTCTTCTTCCTCATTTTTCCTCCTGTTTATCCTCTCTGCCTGCCAGTCCTGCCTATCCTTGCTCCTGCCTCGCTACTGGCCGTTCAGCTCTTTATTAGACCATCAGGTGTTTTAGACAAGCACAGTAACACAGCTTCACAGAGTAAACAAAATGCATCGTAAACAAAAGTCACACACCTTAAATAATATTCCCCAACATCAGGTTACGTATTACTCCTCAGAGTACACAGCCACAGCCCCAAAGCTACTTTGTCATCTTATTTGTTCTTAGTCTCCCATGATAGAGGGAAAACAGGGCTCCTTTCCATTTCTTTCACCATTGTGATGTTGGTGCCTAAGACATTGCCTGACACATAGTAGGGCTGTAACAAATGATTAGAGTGTGGAGTCGAATTTTGCCATTTGACTGGCCAATCTTGAACTTGATAATCACTGGGAATAGATTCAAATCCATCCCTGACTCCAGGGCATAGACTTGTTAACCATCCTCACAATGCTGGGTTGGCTTCATGACTGACACTGGTGTAGAACCCAACACTAATGTCATAACCAACAAATTCCAGGCAGGATTCTAGGCAGTTAAATTTGAAGAGGTTTGTCTTCAAATCCAAGGAACAAAATGGGTTCATCTCCCAGCTTCAAGAGGGCCCCAGGGTAGCTGCTTTGGTAAAGCTGTGACCCTTGAGGCGCCAGCATCGGCACACTCTTGCAGCAAGTTGAGCCATCTGCAGGGTGCCATCAAGCCAAGTGGTCTGGCCTCCAGACCAAGGCAAGGAGGGGCAGATAGCAAGGAAAGAGATGAAAGCATCAAGCCTCCAGGAGTCCTTTTGCTTTGCTGTTGGAGGCAGGTCAGCTGCCACTCAATTGTGAAAACTCAACCCCAAATGGCTAACAGTGACATCATTTACTCATCTGCCTATAAGAGGCACTGTTGTAACACTGATAATGGTTAACTTTTTATTAGGCAAGCAACTGAATGAAGCACAGACCTAGGTAGAACTAGCTAGAGAGCACAGGGTAGGAAACAGGAGTTAAGAGGAAACTCAAAGCATCATACAGAAACATAGGCTTGGAGAGCTACTGGAAAGACAGCCTCAAACTTCATGCTCTGCCCACTCTGCTGAGCCTGAAGCAGATGCTACAGACTCCAGTCTCCCCATCCTGGCAAGGGATAGGAGAAATGAGGTCCCAGGCCAGAGTTACGCAGAGGCCAGTTCTGTGGTGATAGCCTGCCATGCTTGCTTAGCCTGCTTATTCCTTCTGTTTCCTTCAGTCTCAAGGCCCTCCTAGCTGGGAATCCTCCAGACAACATGGTGGATCTGTCAGGCATCCCACTGACCTCGCGTGACCTGGAGAGGGTGACGAGCTATCTTCAGCGCTGTGGAGAGCAAGTGGACAGTGTGGAGCTGGGCTTCACCGGCCTCACAGATGACATGGTCCTGCAGCTTCTGCCAGCACTCAGTAATCTGCCTCGCCTCACCACACTAGCCCTCAATGGCAACCGATTGACCAGGGCTCTGCTGAGGGACCTCACTGACACCCTGAAGGATCCCAGCAAGTTCCCCAATGTCACATGGATTGACCTGGGCAACAATGTGGACATCTTCTCTTTACCCCAGCCCTTCCTGCTCAGCCTGCGTAAGCGCTCTCCAAAACAGGGTCACCTACCAACCATCCTGGAGCTGGGTGAGGGGCCAGGTACTGGGGAAGAGGCCAGGGAAGATACAAGTCAGCAGGACCCTAGGGGAAGCCCTGTGACACCTACCAGAGACCATGAGAGCAGGGAGACTGACTCAGACATGACCTGAAGTAGGGAGAACTTGTCAGGATGGCTAGGGCAGGTTAGCGGCCTCTCCCATCAGAATGTCTGAACCACCCCACCCACCAGGATGACATCAGAGTAATCTTTTATCCTAGTACCTGCCAGTAAGAAGCCACCTCTTGCTGTAAGGGTTTTGGGATATCTCCACTCAGCCAGTTCTCCCAATTTTATGCAGCTGGACCAAGCTCTCCCACCATGATAGTGAGCCCCCTTAAAGACCCTTGGAGCACCCTCCCAATTCAAAGGGGCCTCTTGAAGATGCTGTGTGGTTCAGAGGAAAAAGTATGGAAAATGCAGTTGAAGCTACAGATGTCCCTTTTTGACTAGGGGGGATTGAGGGAGGCATCGTACTGTGAAGGGCAGTACCATACCTAGTTCCTTTACCCCTCAACCAGCACAACTTTTCCTACCAGCTGGTTATCAGCTCAGGAATGGCTTTCCAAGTTTTCCTATCATAACAGAAGGTTCCCAAGACTAGTTCAGCCCTAAATTGGGGTCTCCATGGCCATTTCCCAATAATGCTCCAAGGAAACCAGGAACTGGTAGACAAAATCCAAGCTGAGGGAAGCAAAGCCTTACAAGCCAGGTAAGGCTTATAGGATCTGAGCAAGGTTGGGGCCTTCCTTACATGGTACTGCCTAAATGCAGCCAAGGGACAGGAATTCAGTGTGGGTGCCTTACATGCTTTGGAATCTTGGCCCAAGTCTTAGACTGGCCAGAAGTTTACAGTGCTAAAGCTGGACCACTCAACACCTGACACTTTTACTCTTCAAATACATGTTTTTAAGGACCAATACCAAAGATCCTGCTTTATTATATAGAGCTCTGTAACTGCAAACACATTCTGACCTGTGAGTGAATTCACCCAATACAGCGGCAACCAATTTTGTTAATAAGCATTTATTAAGAGGTTTAGAAGCTCCTGTGGGGTGGGATGACCAAATGTGCCTGACCAGAACAAGGTTGGCAGACACACACTTGGGAGTACTTTCATGAGGATGCTCAAAAGGTGATAGCTTTCAGTTGATGGTAGCCCTGTTGCTGTTGACTCCTCTGGACAGAGCCTGCAAAAGAACTAAATTTCAGAATCACACTTGCTTCAAACTCCAACCAATGGCATTCCCAACATTTAAAGATATCTTCAGAAAACCATAGGCTCACCACTACCAATCTGCCGGTAATTCCAGCTATTTTAGGTTATCTCATCATTTGATATCAGAGTTAAGGACAACTAGCTGCTTGAGATTAAGCACCGTACAGGTCAAACCTACCTCCTCCTTCATTCACCAGTACTGCCAAGACAGGCTGCATTCCAGCATTCAGTTCTCAAAACTTGAGGAAATGAACACAATCCTAAGATTATAGAAATAGGGCAAAGTTATTTCTAGTGGCAGCCCCACTGGAACCCCATTTTAAGCACAACCTAACAAGAGCATCGAAGACCTTACAAAGGGTATGTATTTTTCAGGCTACTAATAATACAGTCAGTGAGATTGCTTCTGCAAAACCAACCCAGCTAGGTTCCATGGAACCCAAATGGCAAGGTGAGCTATACAAACTGTCACATAAATGGTTGTTTTTCCACCCAACCAGGTTTGACTCCCACCAAGCACAAGGTGATTCTCACAACCACCTCCAAGTCTAGTCCCCTTTACTCAGCCTCCATGGAGGACATACACCTATGCACTCCACCCTGATTTAGCTCCCCCCACCCTCCCAAGCACAAGTATTGAGTACAAGCACTCCAAGTCAGGATGGACTGATGCACGCGAATTAATGTTATCCTTACCTCATGGGAGGCCACAGCTGCTGACAGTCCTGCGCTCCAAATCTCCGACCTAGGTGAGTAGGGTAGTTGTTAGTTCAGACCGAGTTAGTCCTAAACACCAGCAACAGGTGACGGCTTGACTGCAGTCAGCCAGGAATAATTATCGTCAGTTATCGCTTCTGACGGCACTTCCTATTAGTGATCTCATCATTGCAGTCAAGCATTCCGTTGCCCCACAGCAACACATGCTTTCAGGCATCAACTGCAGACCCTTTTTAAACCAAGCAAGTGGCCATGCACACGTGGTGTGTCGGGACCAGAACACTCCCTGTCACCACAGTCCAGGTACTTATGATAGTATGATGGAGTAATTGGCCTCTTAGCAGCGCCAGGAGAAACTTTGCTGAGACTCTTTATGCATGAAGCGGAGGCTGTGGCGGGGAGGGGAGATCTACAGGTAGCGAAATCACAATTTTAGAATTTTACCTCCAGAAACTCTTACCTCATGGTGGGGTACTGCTCCTACTCGACGTTCGGCTAATTCCCCCATCTGAAAGGTTAAAAGGGTAAGAGTGCAGCGACATTCGCACACTCGTGATCAGCAGTCATCGCTGTGGCTTGTGCCACTGCGGTCAGCTTAAGAAGGGAGGTCGTCAGTTGTCGAATCGGACGGCACTTCCTATTACAATTATCATCAGAGCAGCGGACACCCAACCCACACGCGGCGACCCGGGATGCAGATCCCGACCTACCCGGCACCCTCAGGTCTGCGCAGGGCCCATGGTGGGGCTGGGAGGCCGGGCCAGCGCGGCATCGCGCCGGCTCCGCTCAGCTAGGCCCACGCGCCAGAGGCAACTACAGGAAACACATGAAGAGAGCCTCATAGCGCCTACAGAGGACGAGAGACTGGGGCCCGTGTGCACCCCACTCTTAAGGGGCCGGAATAGACCACTTCTCACACTAGAGAGGGTGAGAGAGGCAAAGGCTCACGGGAACTCCCGGCGCACAGCCCAGGGCTCGCTACCCGGGACTCCCCCGTTCTGTTGAGCGAGTGGTCTCTACCGCCCCAAGAATTCTGGGTAGCGAAGAGCCCAGCGAGCTCCAGTGCGCCTGCGCGAAGGGGTCAGCGCGGGTTTCTTTGGCCCCGTGGTCTTTGGAGAATTCTCATTCCTTTGTAAACTCGTGTAAAGTTTGGAAAACGTGGAGTTAGCTCTGATAGCGCAGGCATGAAATCAGAACTGCTTCGGAGTCTCAGGCGGGAATTAGAGTCTAGCCTGAGCAATATAGTGAGCCCTGTCAAAGAAAGAAAAGAAGGGCCGAAATAGTCTGGCTGGGTAGTGGAGAGCTTGCGTAAGCATGCGTTTAATCCTCAGGACCTGGGAATACAGAGTAAGACACTGGCTGTTCTGAGCTTCGCCTGATATAACACACCAGAAACCGCATTCAGAGACCATAAACAGTAGCTGCTGCTTGATGATTCGGGCCGTTCTGCGCCCGGTTTCTATTTCAGCATGTCCACGGAGCCCCTCAAGACCCTATGCAGACAGCCCTCATCACACTCCTTAGAGAATTGTAGTCTAGAGGGAATCTTGTTTGCTCTGTTTTCATTGTCCCCTGCCCTTTCCGCTTCTGACTTTTGCATCGGGTTTATCTCATGGGCAATAGAAAACTGATACTATTCCATCAATATATGAGCATGTTCGGGTGTCCCTTAGGGGTTGAGGACATAGCAAACCTGAAACTCTTAGTTCCATTCCCAGCACCTCATAAACTGGGTGTTGTGGCAAACTCCCAAGTTCTGTGGAGGTAGAGGCAGCAGAATCGGAAGTTCAAGGTCTTTTTCAGCTATATAGAGACTTTGAGGCCAGTCTGGGATACTTAAGCCTGCTATCCTAGCGCTGAGGAGGCTAGAGTAAGGTTCTTGTGCATTCAAGACCAGCCTGGCCTACAGAATGAAATCCTGTCTCAAAAAACCTCAGTGTAAAGTCTGATCGAGTTATTATATACGAGGTGCCAGGTTCAATTCAACAAGACACCTGTGCTTGCATACATTTCATACGCAATTTTGACAAAAGAGAACTCATTTTGTCAGAACTGCCAAGTGGTCATGAGACAGTAATCTAGGTAGGTGGTCCAGGGAATAAACCTAGGATTTTAATGGAGAGAAGTGTCAACTTAAAGGGAATAAGATCGTTTATTTTAGAGCCAAATATGAGTGACCACGGGCAGGAACACAGATTCAGATTTCCCCAAATACCATGTTCCATTTTGGAAGAGATTTTATTAGTGTTTTAAGTTACTGAACAAGGAAAGTCCCAATTAGCAAGTTACAGCAGCAGGTTTCAGGTGCTATTCAGTGATGATCTTAGTTTTGGGGTTTGTGGAAACTAGTGGTCTAAGAATAGTAGTGTAAGGTTTCGTTTTATTTTCATTTCATTTATTTATTTATTAAGTATACAGTGTTCTGCCTGCATGTGTGCCCACAGGCCAGAAGAGGGCACCAGAACTCATTATTGATGGTTGTGAGTCACCATGTGGTTTCTGGGAATTGAACTCAGGACCTCTGAGCTGCCTCTCCAGGCTCATAGTCTAAGGTTTTGATGGTCACAAAGATGTTAAGTCAGACACAGTGGGGCAGGGAGTTCAAAGAGACCAAGCAATAGCCCAAGATAATTTGACTGGTTTGAAAAACAATTTCAAACAAGTCATTTGGCCTTGAATCTTTAATACAGGTGCAGTTCCTGCCTTGCTGTCTTCCTTCTGGGAGTTTCAAGTCACAGAAACATCCAGCAAATGCCAAGTCATACAGTCAAATATGAGGCCCTTCAGGTTTCATGAATAATTAAGAGGAAGTACTAAGGACTTTCCATCAAATTCCCCTGAAAGTAAAAGGTGTACAGGGTTGGGGGGGAGGGTCTAGAAATCATGAGCAAAAACATGCAAGAGGATACTTCTCTCAGGCCTTCGGAGTTCAGAGGTGACTTGCTTGCCTTGTATCTTAAGAGGGCCTTTCTCACTTTCCTGCAGAGACTGGTGAGGAGAAGTGGGAAGCTGAGGCCCAAGTGTGTGGAAAAACATTCCAGATCGTAATGGAGACTTAGTCATCCTAGAGGTGGGAAAGTGGCTTCATTTGTGCCCAACCCTCAGCCTGCCACATGGAAGAAGACCGTGCTGCAACTGAGATGTGGCCAGCCAGTGAAGGTTTCTGAGCAGGCTAACCCCAGAGCCAGGTGGGCACTTAGAGATGCATGCAAATATTACCGGATGCTAGGGTCCCATAGCTTTATCCAAATAACACGTCTAGAGCACTTAGTTACACAAAAAAATATTTATATTTCCACCAAAATTCAGTAGCCTCAGAGCCAGCAGATGTGGCTGGGAAGATCCCCCCACTTGGTCCTGCCAGCCTTCTGCAGATTCTGGGCCATCAATGGGACTGGAGGACCTGGAGGGACAGATGGTCTTCCTCTGAGGCACTGTTCTTCCCAGATTTAGAGGTTGGGTTCTTCTCATAACCTGTAAGTGGACAATGAACACTGTGCCTTTGCCCTTGGCATATCCCCTGGCAGTAGGTACCAGGGAAACAAGAAAAGGCCATAACCATGAAAAGCCACAATGTTCTGAGTATAACAGTAAACCTGCTTTCCTCCTTCCACAAGAATCTCTGAACCCCTTCCATGGGCCATCCAGGGACCTCACCACAGAATTCAAAAGCCCCCAGAGCTGACAGGCTCTATCAGAAACCAGAATGAAGAGCAGGAGAGAAGTAGGTGAGGTACTCAAGGAGCTCAGGGGAGAGAGGCGACCCTTCTTTAGAGTTGGAGGTGAATAGGGACATCCCGAGAAAAGGAGAGGACAGAGACAGACAAGGAAGTGTCAAGGAAGCAAAGAACCAAGAGTATCACAGCATGGATGGCTGCCTTGTTGACTGAGGAATGAGTCAGACAACAGCTCTGGGACCATGACCCTTCAGCTATGTATCGTGGATCCTGTGAAGTCCTTGTCTACCTTAGCCAGAATGCAATGGGACAGGCCTGAAGCAGAAAGTTTTGTTTGAAGGTTGAGGTGCATGCTGAGACACCTTGCAGTGGGTACAGAGGTAAAGTTAAAGGGATGCCTGAGAGGCCAAGGACATCAGCATCAGACAGGAGGGATGGGCAGAGAAACCCCCATCTTGGTGTGAAGGGTGGAGCTATATCCATGCTACCTGCTAGGGCAACCCCAAAGCAGTTTGCAGTCAAGCTGGTGGCCAGCAGGCAGCAGAGTTTGGGATGGGGACTCAGGTATAAAATAGCTGGACCAGATTGGGGGGCAAGGGCAAAATGACTCATTATTCTGTCACTGTGAGAATGGGTAGAGAAAGTGGAAAGGAAGCCTTGGCGTGGGGATAGGAGGTAGGAAATCAGGCTTTGGAGCAGCAAGATGCCAGCAGTCTCCTTGTAACAGGTCACACTCAACTTGAGTAGATATTAGGTAGAGGGCTGGGGCATTTGGCAGGAAAGAGAAGGGAAAATTGAGACACCCCTCCCCCCCCGAGCATCGGGTTGAATTTCCTGGTGTTCATCTGTTTAGGTTGTAAGTTATTTCTCCCTGAATAAACATCTATTCGGCCTATTTGCTTATCCTGATCCTTATTTAACCGCAATACTCCCCCTCTCCGAAAGCTGGGGAGAACATCCCTGGTTTGGGAGGGAGGAGTTGATTGGGTGGAGGCAGAGGTGGAGACAGGAAGAGTTCTTACTATGCTAGAACAGAAAGGCCAAATGCCACAGAGACTTACAGGAAGTGACTTTCTCCCTCCCCCCCCCCCCACCTTTTCCTTTTTTCTTTTGGTGTTTCCAGACAGGGTTTCTCATTGTAACAGTCTGGCTGTCTGAGAACCAGGTTGGCCTCAAACACTTTACCCCAGAGATACACTTTAATCCCAGGGCTGGGATTAAAGACATGCACAGCCATCACCTGGCAGGAAGTGACTTCTACTGTGGGATTAAGGGGGTGGTGCATATGTAGTGGTGGAAATCTCAGGTCAGGTAGGCTGACCTGTCAAGCAAAGCCATGGCCCAGGGAGATGCCACCTCTGTTGTGGGCCAGGATAGGATTGGGGACTAGAGGGCAACACACTCCCTGACTTCTTCCCTTGCTGGGAACCAAATCCAGCCCAAGCCTGGACAAAGGGTGCACCTGATAACCAAGGCAGGGAGAGAAGACAGCAGAGAGGTCAGAGTGAGACAGACGGGCAGAGCATATTGCAGGCTGAGAATCTTTCCCTAGGCAGGTCAGTAGGGCAGACATGCCATAGAGGGACTAAGGCACCAATCCCTACAGGAGGAGCAGCTGCAAAGCATCCACACAATAGGACTCTGAGTCCCACCCCGGATTCTCAAAGGCAGTGTTGCCAGCAAACTCACAGCACATGCTCACAAGGACCAGGGCAATGGCGCTAGCACCAGGACTACTCACCAGGGTTGCCCGCCCCTGATGGATCCTCAGACAAGGTGGGGAGCGTTTTCTCCCATGCAGCCCAGTTCACTTCCTCCACCCTGCAGTTGACAAAACAGCCCTAAAGTTCAGAGAGGCTAGCAAGCTTTGCCCCTGGGAGGGATCATCTCCCTCCTCCCAGTGGACTGTGCAGATAATGAGGAAGATGGTCTTGGTTTTGTTTCTGCCCCTCCCTAACAAGGCACTGGTCCACCCACATCCTGCAAGCACTGATCCTGTGACTGTTGGATTACCCCCCCCCCCCCGAGACCAGATGTCCACGGGGAGGAAGAGGCATCCTTCTCCCCAACTGTTCTCAGTGTCTGGGTTTCCCAGAGCTAGGGAGTGGGATCAGGTGTATTTCTGTGCCACAAGTTGTAGGCTCTTTTGT